CAGGAAACAAAATGTCAATTTAAAGAATGCACACATCAACTCTAGGAAAGACAAACAAATGAACAATGTTGCAAACTCCAAGACACACAATATTTCAATTTGACAATTCTAATGACAAAGAACAGATTCTGCAAGCCACCAGGAGAAAGAACTTCAAATATAAATGAAAGGAAATTCAAATAACACAAGACTATTCTGTACCTATCAGAACTACAAGAGGGAAAGGAACAATGTGTACCAAGAAAAAAAAAGACTTCAAGATACAACCAAGGTGACATACTTTGCAAACCTGAGCCTAGCAAAAAAAGATGGACATTCAATAAATAAGTGGTGTTAAAATCATTCCTGAAAAGAAAGCCAGAACTGAACAAATTGTTTGCAAATACCTCAGACAACAGAAACATAAGAAAAGTCAATAAAAAAAGCATCCAATGAAGGGACAGATAACAAAATAAGTTACCTAGAAAAAAAAAACAAAAAACTAAAAAGATAGTGACACAACTCAATAATAAGAACAAAAATAACGAGAGAGATCATTAAGAGATTTCTTCCAAAGTACACAAGGAGACAAGAATGAAAGTGATGGTGCAACAGACTTGAAACAGCATCTCACAACAACTTGCCTGTAGTTGAATCAATGTTATTTGTGGGACTAAATTGAAGAGTTGTGGGACACTTTTATAAAAGGGAAGAAGGGAGAAAGAAGATAGAGAGGAATATATAACATACTGTAATAAAGCCAAAGGTTAACAATGAAGAGAAAATAACTCCTGTAGTCTCTTAGGAAGAAGAGGGCCTGCAAGAGTATAGGTGAGAAGGTAAAGGGAGGGACTGAAATAGAAATATTTTTTTCAGTATTTGGGAAAGGGCTCCACTCATGGATGAATGGTCCTATGGGGGAAGAGAGATATTCTATAAATTGAGATGGGGACTTTATAATGAGTATGGTCTGTAGAGATTTTGTGCTTAGTGGCACCATGCATCCTACCTCAGAAGAAGGGGAATCAGAGATCCTAGGGGTATCTGATACAAAAAAGAGTTGGCGAAAATGAACTTACAGAGGAGATTTCATGGAAAATAGGAAAAAAAATGATAATGGAGGAGGGCAAAGAGTAGTAATGAATGGCATAATCAGGTATATAGTAAAATTTCTACCATTGAGAAATATTTCTATACTTTCTTTCACCTGAGGGAATTGGATATTTCTAAGAATGAGGCAACACACACACATACACACACAAATGAAGCCAGATGACAAGATCTACATGGTAATAACAAAGGAACAATTCAGAAAAGGAAACTCAAGATAGGAACCTAGAAAGCCTTAATTCTATTAGGAATATAAAGACTAAAGAAGGAATAAATAAGCATAAGGGCCATGAACCAAAGAATAAAATCTAAAATAGACAGAAATGAAGGAAAAATAACTATGAGAAAGAGGGAAAGAAATCCTTTCCAGAAAATGATGCAGAAAATGAAATTTAAAAATTAACAAACACAATAACTTGAAGAAGAGAGGAAGGAGATTTTGGTTGAATACTTAACTGAATAAAAAAGGGGAATATTTAGAGAACTAGATAAAAGGAAGAAAGGAAAATGAACTAGTTCCAAAGTTTTCTTCTTCCCTCCCTTCCTCTCCTGCCTCCGCAAGATACATGTTCAATCATGTTAAACATATATCCACATTAGTCATGCTGTGAAAGAAGAAACGGAACAAAAGGAAAAAAAACTATGAAAAAAAACATAAAGAAAGTTAAAATAGTATGCTTTAATCTGCACTCAGACTCCATAGTTCTTTCTCTGGATGTGGATAACATTTTCCATCATGTGTCTTTTGGAGTTGTGTGTTTTGGGTATGACAACTTTCCTTTGTAATGTTGTTGTTGTTCAGTTGTTTCAGTCTTATCCAACTGTTTATGACCCCATTTGGGGTTTTCTTGGCAAAGATACTACAGTGGTTTGCCATTTCCTTCTCCAGCTCATTTTACAGATGAGAAAACTGAGGCAAATGGTTAAGTGTCTTGCCCAGGGTCACACAACTAGTAAAGTGTCTGAGGCCAGATTTGAACTCAGGAGGATGTCTTCCTTTCTCCAGGCCTGGTGCTCTAGCCACTGTGCCCCCTAAAATATCCTTCTGAGAAGAGATCTGTAGGGCACACCAAAAAAAGGTTAAGAACCCCTGATCTACATGGAAATAGTAGCTTGTATCTCCCTAATAATTAAGATTTACTAAACAGCTTTTTTTTTTTGTCACACCAATTTTGTAAGGTAAGTCAGGCAAGCATTATTATCACCATTCTACAAGATGATGAAACTAAGGACATGAAGTGAGAAGTGAAGTGAAATGTCCAAGGTCACACAGCTAGTAAATACTAGAATCAGAATATGATCTCAGGGGCCACCTGACTACATACTCAGTACTTTTTCCACCTACAGTATGCTGTCTGAACCAGCTAAACAGTCATTGAGAAAGGAAATTAGATTCTAAGGGTAGTTAGATAGATCTAAGTGATATGTTGTTCTAGAGACAAGGAAGCCAAGTGTCTTGGTTTCCAATCAATCACACAATGCTTTTATTAAGTACCTAATATATACCAGGGACTGTGCTAGGCAATGGGTTCATGCATGCAAAATTAAGATAGTCCGTACCTTCAGGAAACTTATATTCAACTAAAATGATTTCCATTGGAGACAGAGACAACCTTCATTTAGATATTGGAGATCAGTGATAGGCTTTTGAGTCATTTGCCTGAATTTACTCAAGCCTAGGTAAGGTTTTGGGTCTGGAGTCAGTTTTCTTTTCCTTGTTGTGGTACTCCACAGTAGTACACAGCTGAATCTTCTTGCTCCAGGTTTTTAATTTCTAAGTAGAATAGGTTCCTGTAGGTATGTGTGTACATTAAGGCTCTGCTTTGCATTGTGTTTGCGGTATGAACATTTTTTCTATAACCATACATAAAGCTTATATACTCCAGTGTCTTTCCTTGCACTTGGCGGTACCAGTACACAAAGGTATTTTCAATTTGGATTCCTGATACTTCACAGGAGAGACGTACAAACTGTCCAATTTCTTTTATCTCACTTCCACTTTGCTGCAACTTAATTTGTGCCCCAACACCTGAAAAAACAGAAACATTGAACCAGGCTCTCTCCTCTCACCAAGAACACGTGAGTTCAATTTCAAGTTGAGCTGTCAAAGTAATTTTTCCTAAATACAAGTCTGACCATGTGACTTTCTGCTCAATCTATCCAGGGGCTTCCTTTTGCATATGGAATAGATGACAAATTCCCTTGTTTAGCTTTTAAAGCCCTATACAACTGAACCTCTACCATTCTTTCCAGCCTCAATGAACATCCCTATCCCGATGGCACTTTGTGATTCAACCAGATTGGCCTCTCTGTTTCTCATACACAACACTCCATTTTCCATTCCTTTTGGCTGCCTGTCTTATTTGCCTGGGATGCTATCCCTCCTTCGCTCCACCTCTTAGAGGCTCCCTCTTTCAGATTCAGCTCAGGTACCATATTCTGGATAAAAACTTTCTTGACATTCCCAACTGCTAGTGTCCTTCTTCCCAAGCTACCTTGTATTTATTCAATTTGTATAAATTTGCATTCATGCTACTTACATATGAATGTCGTGTCTCTCCCATTAGAGCATAAACTCTCTGTGAGTAGGGATTGTTTCATTCTTCCTACTTGTATGCCCAGTACCTAGAATAGTACCTGACACTTATTAAGACCCTTAATAAATACTTGATTGATTGATCAATTTCTTGATTGCATGGGATAAAGTGTTGTAAATAAAAATTTCGGGGAGATTTGCATCCATGTTACTGGTAATTATGGAGTGTTGAATTGATGGTAGTTTTGCTGTCACCATCTAACATCTGGCAACCTTTCCCTTCTGCCCACTACCCCAGAAGCAGGACACTTGGAAATCTCCCAGGTCGGAGCCAGGTCCTTCAGAGAGCCTTACCTTTGTAAAGACTCAGGATGACAATGAGAGTCAGGTGAAATTCCATACTAATGCCTTGAGAACAGGTTGCAGGGAGGTAGGCCCACTGCAGATACGTACGTGATGGTGTGGTGTCCCAGACTTATGGGGATATGAACAGGAAGATAGAGTGGTATGTGACTCAAGCAGGAAGTGGAAAGAGTTGGTTTGCATCATGTTAAGGCATATTACTTCAATGTGAAGAGGGAAATGGCTCAGAGTCCAGAGCCCAGCATGCTTGTAGTTGGAGGAAGTCAGGTTGATAGAACCACAAAATGGAAAGTGGAAACACAGGCTAGAAAGTCTTCTATGCAAAGAAAGTAGCAAAAACTCATTTCTTTAAAGAGATAATGTCAATAGAAAAGGAGAGGTTCAATGAAAAAGTCTCCAGATACATAAGAAGAGAGGCCTGAGAAGAAACCAAATGAGTGTTTGGATGCAAAATAGCAGTCACATTGGCATCACCTTTTGCTTGCATTGTGTTTTACTAATCCAGAGCTCCCAACCTTTTGAAATTCCATCTATGAACCCCTAAAGCAGTTTAGTGCAGAGGATACTGTTGGAGGAACACTGTCCCTGAAGAATCGATAAGAAACAGACCATCTAACTTGCACATGGACATTGTAAAGGGTAAAGAAAAGGTGGTCAATTCTGAATGGGCAGGCAATGGGAGTGAACATGGAACATTTCTATTTTTGTATCTCAAGCACCTAGCACATAGTAGGTTCTTAATAAATGTGTTTTTATTAATTTGTCCAAAATAATTACCTTGGAAAAGAGTCAGAATAAGGACGAACCCTACCCTAAAGAGTATGTTGGTGACCTGAAGTCATGCTTGAGACTGGGAACATGACCAGCTGAGAAGTATGGCTTCATTCTCCTCTCCTACAACTGCCAGGCAAAGACCTTGGCAGAATCTCAACAGGAAGCAGAGTTGCTCTATTTGCATATCCTTTTTTTATACTGAGAAAAAAACTTCAACTTTGAGTTTCAGAGACTCAGGATGAAGCTAGAGAAAGGAGGAAGGGGAGAAGGAGAGTCCTGGAGAGGAAAGTCAGAGAGAAGTTGGGGTTTAGGACAGGCGTCAAATCCCAAATTTTATTTCATTGGCCATGAATGTATTTCATTTGATTTCTTTTTTATGTAACAGCTTCATCCTCTATCCAAAGGACATGCCCTTGGAAAAAGAGAGATCTCTTCTATGAATCAAATTCTCACTGGAGTGAGCCAGGTAGGGATCTATTCTTTCAAAAGCTGCTAAGCTGAATTCCTTTATCCATAAGATGCTTCTGGTTTTTCCTTGCTGGGCATGGCTTCTTTGAATTTTAATTTTCTTTCAGTATCCAGGGATTCTTGAAGTGGGGTCCATGAATTTGTTTTTGTTTGACAACTATATTTTGATATAATTGACTTTCTTTGTAATCTTAAGTATTTTATCTTATACATTTCAGAAGATTATTGTGATAAGGGCTTCATTCACTTCACTTGTCTGTCAAAGGAATTCATGATGCTAAAAAGGTTAAGAACCCTTGGTGTAAAAAGGATACTTCATTCTGTGATCTGCTACTATCAGTGGATGAGAGGGGCTCATCTCCAAAGTCAAAAATTTTCTCTCTTCTCTACCTTACCTCTCCAGTTCATACTCTGACCACAGGGACATCCTCCACCTTATCTTTGTCCATTAGCTTCATTTATTTCCAAGGGCATGGAGGCAGTCAGGACTGAATCCAGCAAGATGAATTTGCTCTTCACACTTTGTATCTAGCAAAGTTGCATCTAGAACCCTTCCGAGCACAAAGCAACCCTACTTCTCCAATACTTTTAGGATTGCTGATTTCACCCAGAATGTGTTTTGCAAATGAAGGCACTATGGAACTGTGAGTTATTATTATTATTTATCCATATGGGAGCTTCCTTCAGCAATGCAGGCTGCAGTTCTTTGGCATCTTTGTAGATAGATGGTCTTCATGAGTTATTCTGACTGAAAAGTGGCTCATCCTTTGATGACATGCCCTCCAAAAAACAGCTAGGCTAGTACTCCAGCTACAGGCATGAAGTCTGTCCCTGGGTTGATACCTGAAGCTTTTCTAATTTGGTGGGACATGTAAAAGCTTGTACTCATCTAGAATATGTCACCTCCATGCTATTATGAAGGATCAGAGTAAGACTTTAGAAGAGGATAAGATAGCCATTTTTCCTAGGGAACACCTATATTATGTCTTGACATTACCTAAGTAGGATCATAAAGATGGAAGAAGCCTCTAAGGGCATTTAGTTCAATCCCTTTATTTTACAGATGAAGACACTGAGTTCCAGAGGGAGTTAAGTGATTTACCTAAGGTTGCACACGTAGCAAGAAGCAGAACCAGGATTTGAACCCAGGTCCTCTATTCCAGATCTTGGAGTTCAGTGAATTGTGTTGCCTCCAATAAGAATAAGCAGCTTGAAAGGGACCTACTTAGATTCACCAAATTTTTTCTCACCTCTGCCCTGAATTAGGCTTTCAGACCTGTACTTTGATGATGGAGGACCCTGGTGAGGCTGAAGGGTGGTTCATGGAGTTCTTGCTGCCCTGTCTGGTTTAGGGAGGTCCTTATTTCCTTGGACAAGCATGAGAGTGAAGACACAATTCAAATTTATGGACAACGTGAGGTCTGAAATGAAAAATTTTCATTTGCTTAGATACAAGGCTAGGAAATCTTCTTTCCCAGATCAACAGAAGATTATCTTACTTTGCAGATTTTCTTATAAAATAGAGAAAAGATCATTCTAGCCCTGAAAGGTCAAAGTAGCTGAATATAGGTTGATGTATGGAAGCCCTTGGGGCCAAAGCTGAATATGGAGAGGGGCGTCTCATTGGCCAAAACTTGTCTCAGGTACGTCTAAGCTGAGCCAGATGGAAAACTGTGGGGCTTGGGGGAACAAAACACTCTCTCCTCATCAGCACTGTTGGAAAGGGTGCGGTATAGATCAAGACGGCTGAATGAAATAGAGGAAGAAGCACTGAACTTGGAGTTAGGAGGCCTGAGGTTAGATACTGGTTCTGATACTAGCCATGTGTTCATGGACAATCCTGTCATCTTCCTGAATCTCAGTGTTCTTGTTTGTAGAATGGGGATAATATTGTGCTTCCTGCCTCACATATTTGTTATGGGAAAGTGCTTTGCAAACCTTAAAGTGCTTTATAAGTTGCTGGAGAGCAAAAAAAAATACTGTGATGGTGTTTTTGTGATGGTGTTTTGTCTTTACACACTTTTTTACTGTATTCTGAAAAAAGGGAAGTATGCAGAGGGTCCAGGCAGTAAGAACATTCTTGATATTTTGAAGTATATTCCAGTAAAAAGATGCCAACAAAATCTTTTGGTTTTCAGAAATGACAACAACGTGGTATATAGTCGAAAGAGACAGAAGTAAGATTGATGTCAGAGGACCTGGATTCAAATACCACTGTAGACATTTTCTAGCAGTGCAACCATAGACAAGTCATTTAACCTCCACCAACCTGAGTTATCTTATCTGTAAGACAAGGATAATAATACCTGTAGTACCTAGTTTTTAGAGTTGTTGTGAGGCTCAAATGTAAAGCACTATATAGATGTCAGTTATCATTATTACCATTATTATTGTACTTTGGACTCAGTACTGACTCAAGACCCTGGCAAATCAGGTGGTGGCCCAGAACTCCATGTACTAAAGAGAGTGTCAAAATGGTACCTCCTAAGGAAATGCTCTATCTATACATATCTAGAATATATACATATATAGTATAAATATGCCATTGTTATAGCTATATAGTGATAAAGAACTCTCAGTGTTGAGAGATTTTTTTCACCCAACTTTATTTTGCTTACATTTAAAAGCATTTGTCTACTTGTAACTGGAGAATTAATGGTCATCATTTTCTTTATGAGAGATCCAGAAGTATAGTTACTAAACTATACTTTGAACTCTCTATTCAATTTTCCATTTCTCTTCTTAACTGGGCAGCTCAGGACTGTAGGAAAAGTCTGATCCCATGGGAAGCACTGACCAGTTCTTAAAAAACCTGAGAGGAGGGCCTATAATCACTGTATCATATAGTGGAATGAACAATGCACTAGAATTCAGAAGAGGTAGATTTGATTCCCAGCTCTTCCTCTTACTAGAATTGTGTTGAATGGCAAATCTTTTCTCCTTTAATTGTGTTAAATGGGATGATTCTTGCTCCACCCAATTCATAGGGCTGTTTGTGAGAAAGCTGCTTTGGAAGACTTCATTTGCCTTTGAAACATGACACTATTGTGGTTACTTTTTAGAAGCTGCACTATTTCTGACTGCTATATTTTGGAAGAAAAGGAGCTTCAATTCTGGTTGGGGAATTGGACCTGCCTGACAAGATACCCTATGGATCCATTTCCAAAGGCAGGGATCATAGACACAGGACTAGACAAGGGAGGGCAGCAGAAGAAGTCCATGTGAGTAGAAGAATCCAAGCTGAGATATGAACAAAGACAACAATATTTTTTATTCATTCACTCAACAAAAATTTCTCGAGTCCCTGCCATGTGTTGGGAGCTATTATGAACCCTGTGGGAAGGATACAAAGAATGGTATTGTTAGAAAGGGGCGGGTATGTGGCACAATAGTGCATAGAGCACTGGGTCTGGAGTCAGCAAGACTCATATTCCTGGGTTCAAATTTGGCTTCAAACTCTTATTTGCTGGATCTTAGAATGCACTCCCTCCTCACCATCACTTCTTGGAGATTCTCTGATTTTTTTCAAAGCTGAGCTCCTCCTCCTACACCTCCTACAATATAAGACCTTCCTTGATCCCTGAATTGTTAGTATCCCCTTCCTGAAACTATTTTTTATTTATTTTTTATGTATCTTATATATACTTAGATATGTATGTGTTGTCTCCTCTGTTTAGAATGTAAGCTCCTTGAGGGCAAGAAAAGTTTCACTTTTGCTTTTGTAGCCCCAGCACTTACTTGGCACAGTGCTAGTGCTTTGTAAGTGTTTGCTGATTGATTCTGAAGACAGATGGAGCTGTAGTCAGAGTTAGAGCATAGTGTCTCAAACAAGAATTCTTAACCTTTTTTTGAGTGTCATGGGCCTCATTGGCAATCTGGTGAAGTGTATGGACCCCTTTTTAGAATAATGTTTCTAAGTGTAGAAAACAAAATACATAGGAATAAGAAGGAAACCAATTATATTGACACGTGGTTATCAAAATATGAAAAAAAATAAGTTCACAGATCCCATGTTAAGAACTGGTTTAGATTTCACACACCCAGGACGTAGTAATGTAATTCCTACTCCAGTGTGCCATTCTTTGTAGTATGGAGCTGACCCCAGGTTTTTGAAGGCAATCTCAGTCAAGGAGAAGATGGAATAGTACAGGGCAGGTGATAGACTAGTCCAAAGACCAAACTGATTGAATTTGGAGAAACTCATCCCTAGATGACTGGTTTTCAGATGGTAACTTCTTTTGGCCAAAACAACTCATGAAGACTAAGGTCGGTAGGAGTTGTAATCTGCACTGGTGGGAGAAATGCCCATACTGATGAAATCAAAGATCCTTGAAGTAACTGTATATGTGCCTAGAAGTATATAAGCACCATGAGGGCAGGGGCCATGTTTTACTTAAATTTTTTCATCTCCACCCAGCACCTACTGCATGTTTTTTGAATTGAATTGCAAATTAATAGAGTTGGATGAAATGATATCTAAGCCTTCACAGCTCAACTAGGCTATTACAATTGTAGACCTTGTTATAATCTAATGACATTGAATAATAAACTATGCGTTCAATTCTCCTTCCTGAGCCTAAGAGGACATCAGGAATGTGTGTAGTGGAGGGGGCAAAGAGCCTGTATTCTCATCACTAATAATATTTACCTGTTGATTGGAGAAGAGACGCTAGCCTATTAGTCTCAGTTTCATTTAGGTTGTGCGGCTGCCAGGAAGGCAGTGTTGCCTCATTGCCTCCCAGCTGAGTATAGCCATGTTGTTCTTTCAGATTGTGGTCAGATAGAAAAATCCCTCTCTCATGCCAATATGATGCTCCCACCTCCTTCTTGCTCTGCCTGGGCCATACCGACTTTTAAAGGAAAGTAGACCTAGAAATAAAAATACTGAAGTAATTGGATGCTACACTATGGGCAAGCCACTTCATCTCCCTTGGGATACTGATGATAGGAAATGGGCTGAATTTTGTACAATTTTCAGTTCAGCTTTCCAACAGGAGGTTGATTATTAGTCAGAATCATACAAGCACATGCTAGTAGAATCTCTGAAGTGAGAGGGACCTCAGAGTTCGTCTAGTCCAATACATACTCAAGAAGAAACTCCTTCTATACCAATCTCAACAAGAAGTCATCCATACTCTACTTGAATACCTCCAGGGATGAGGAATTTACTACATCTGGATGCAGCCCATTTTCCTTTTAGACAGGTTTTGTTGTTAGACCTTTTTTTATTTACAGATATCAAAGCATGCCTCTCTTTCAACTTTCATCCATCATTCCTAGTTCTGCCTTCAGGAGCCAACCAGAATGAGCCTAATTTTTTTAAGGGTTAAGTTGGTGTAGTGGAAAGAGTTCTGGGCTTGGAGTCCAGAGAGAAATGAACTTTATTCCTACTTCTGAAAGCAATTGTGTGACTATGAGCAAGTCACTTACTTTTAACCTCTCTGAGCCCAAGTTTGCTAATCTGTAAAATGTAGATAGCCTTGCTTGTAGTGCCCTCTTCACATGAATGTTGTCATGAGAGTCAAGTGAAATGATGTATGTGAAGTGATTTGTAAATACTCAGAAGGTGGTGCCTGAACTGAACCTTGAAGGGAGATAAATATTTCCACATGCAGAGATGAAGGGGGAACTCATTTCACATATGGAGGCAAGGTCAATATCATTAATAGAGGCAAGAAGAGAAGAGAAATAATTCAAATAATGGCTACTAATGCATTTTTGCTAGAAGGTAGAGTGTTTAAGTAGGGGTTTGGGGTGGGGTGGGTAATGTGAAATAAGAACAGAAAGGCCAGATAGAGTTGCTTGTGGCTGGCCATAAGTGCTACACTAAGGAATTTGTATTTTATCTAGTAGATATTAAGAATCCACTGAAGGGTTTTGAGCTGGAAGTAATATGGTTGGACTTGTGCCTTTGGAAGATTATGGGGAAAAGAAAAGTTCAATTTTGGACATGTTGAGTTTGAGATGCTATCAGGATATCCAACTGGAGATATTTGGTGGCAGTTGGAAATGTGGGGCTGGAGTTTAGGGGAAAGATTGAAGCTGGTGGTGCCAGTATATTTGAAAGACAGCTATGTGGAGATGGTAATTGAACCTATGAGAGCAGATGAGCTTACTGAGGGAAAGAATGTATATATAGAGAGAAAGGAGCCAAGGACAGAGACGTGGGGGACACTCAAACTTTTTGGGAAGAAGGATAATGAACCATTTAGAGAGATGAAAAGGGAGAATCAATGAGTGGAAAGAGGATTAGGAGACAGCAGCCTAGTGGAAGCCAAAAATGGAGACAGAATACAGCAAGAGAGAGTCATCAATAGTATAAATGCTGTGGAATGTTTGAGGAGGATGAGAACTGAGAAAGTATTATTGAATTTATCAATTAGAAAAGAGATTGGTGAGTCAGGGGAGGTTTTTTAAAAAATTTAGGAAGGGGAGGTCTGACTGTGTTTGTTAGCAGGGAAAGAGTCATGAGATATGAAGAAATTAAAAATGAGTGGGAAGAGAGGAGGAGAGAAAGAGAAAGGGGGAAGAGAGAAGTAGAGAGAGAGAAGGAGGGAAGGAGGGAGGGAGGGAGAGAGAGAGATAGAGATAGAGATAGAGAGAGAGAGAGAGAGAGAGAGAGAGAATGATTATAATGCAATTGATTAATGAGATTTTCTAGAGGAAACTGGAGGGAATGGAATCAACATTATACATTTTACTTTGTCCAGGGGAAGGGAGTAAAGGAAGAAAAGACAGATGAAGATGCAAAGAGAATTTCAAATGTGGAAAAGAGGAAAGGGGTTGATAGAATTGATGGTAAATGGCCCAAATTTTCTCCATAAATATCAGGTGAGGACATCTACTGAGATGGTGAGTTGTGGAGGGCAAGTCATGTCCAAGCAGTTAAGATTCTCACTTCTTTCCAGAGAATATTTTCCCTCCCCTTGACCAGGAAAGGAGGTTTCTCTCTGGACCCAGATTACCTCCTGATGTTAAAGCAGTTGTTATTTGAGAGGTGGTCAGTACCATGGAAATGGTTGTGGTGAAGCTGAAAGTTTTTGGTTGATTCATCAATGAAGTGGTGAAACTTACCAACCGCTCGGCTATATTCTGCTACCATTATGGCATGTGAAGAGGGGGATATTACAGGAGATATTTAAGGAGGAGGAGGTGATGAGCAATGTCAGTAGATAAAATTAGATTGACTCACTTTTGTGCTGTTTTTGTTCTGGATTATTTGTAGAGTAAGACCCTGGTGAATTTCTAGGTGCTGATATCTGGTAGGGACTTTAATATTTTGAGTACTCACCTCATCATCCATTTTGTGACTGGAAAGCCTTTCAGAGATAAATTAGTTGCCTTTTCTGATATGACTCTAGTTCAGAGACTGTCCCATCAACTAAGGGGTCTTGAGTTTGAATATAATGTCTCTTTTTTCTATTTGTTCAATCATAATACCTGGGGACTTTTCCTACTTCATCATATAGGTTGCTGTTATCTTGATTCAGTCTACTCATTCCTAAACTTAGCAGTCCATTGGAATTTTCCTAATGACTGTTAAATATATCTCTTACTAACTTCGATTACTATTTTCCATTTCCATCAACATTGATGCAGGAAACATACTTTGGTGCCTGTTCCAGGGCTCGATGGTATCAGTGCTTCCTGAATTCCTTGAAGCTGAATCCAGAAATAATGATAGAGATCATTAAAAACTCTTCAGCTTCATTAATACTTCTTCCAAATTTCTCCAGTTGTATCCAAAGAGAAAACACTGAAAATCACAATGAGGTAAGTACATAATCATTTCAACTTGGACTCATGCCCCATCTTGTCTAAGGAATAATTCAGGAAGGAGATAGAAGGAAGTTACATGTGTAGGTGAAGATCTTGCTTTTCTTTTAATGCTTCTGGGGTGGAATCATCCTGGGGACCAAACAGGAAACTGAACCACTCAATTTGCATAGACTACAAGCCATGGTTTTAGGAAGGCAATGTGGTGTAGAGGAAAAGAATACTGGCTTTGCAAACAGCAGACCGGAGTTGGAGCCCCAGGCCTGTCATTTATTATCTGTGATCTTGAGTAAGTCAATTAATTTCTGTGAATCACAATTACTTCATTTGCTTCATTCTTCATTCATGTAGAGAATGACATTCTCACTCCCTGATTTATAAGGTTGCTATGAATATCAAAAGGCATGATACTGTATACATGTGAATGATGACTTAATATTAGCACTTGGGAATGAAGACTTATGGTCCTATAAATTTGATCAAGAAAATGGGTAGAGGAGACCGGGGCAGGAGCTTCAGTTTCCAGCAGAATGTGTTTTGCCATGGAGGGCTTTCTCATAGCACTGTAGTGAAGGCTGCTGCCAGGGATCGCCCGTTCTCCCCCCTCCCTAAAATTACAGGTTAATAAACACTTTATGTATATTACTCATTTGAGCATCATGATAATCCTGTGAGGGAAGTAGTCTCCTTTTACTGCTAGGTCTCATAGGTGATATGAACTGTCTATGGTTACCCAGTTAATTAATGCCAGAGCCAAGACTCAAATGCACTTTTCTGGCTTCATCCTTATGCACCCCATTGCACTACCTTTTACATGACAGGCCCATACAAGGGGCAAACCAGGATTATAGCATGTACTTCAGAACCTTGGGTACCTAGGGATAATCCGAGATCGTTCATTCTTTTGACCCTTAACACATGTTAATTATTATTATTATTATTATTATTTATCCTTTTAAGTGTCCTGTCTCCCCAACTAGACTATAAGCCCTTTCAGAGCAGAGGACATCTTCAAAGAATGCACCATGGCATAACAGAAAGAGTACTGAGCTTGAAGTCAGAATACATGGATTAAAATCCAGGCTCTGCTATTTGTTTACTGAATGACTCTTAAGCAGAAGGTCTAAGCTTCCTTGGATTATGGGTCTTAAGACTGACTCTGCATAACCTTAATGCTTGGCATGGAATCAGAGCCATAACTAGCAATTTTGTTGTTGCGCTAGGGTGGGGAAACCTCGGCCTCGAGGCCACATGTGGCCTTCTAGGTCCTCAAGTGCAGTCCTTTGACTGAATGAAAACTTCACAGAACAAATCCCCTTAATAAAATGATTTGTTCTGTAACACTTGGGCTCAGTCAAAAGGCCACACCTAAGGACCCTAAAAGGCCACATGTGGCCTGGAGGCTGAGGGTTCCCTGATTTCTGGAAGCAATGCAAAACATAGCTGGGGTTTATAGCATGAAATAGTCCTCAAGAGAACTTTTTAAAGCTGAGGAGAGTGGGACAAAATAAGAATAAACCCACCTGAGAGATATCTTCTGGAGGTGGAGAAGGAAGGGGGAAGAAATCAGGTCATTTGATTACTTCCTATTTTAAGTAATTAGCTTTCTGACATAGGTGTTAAGTAGTTTCTAGTTACTGAAGACATGCAAAGGCTGTTAGCATCCTCTACATTTTGATGCTCCAGGGCAAAGACCTTGTCACGCTGCCTTTATTAGAGATCGGCATAGATATATAGAGAATTTGGCACTTGTAAAACCTAGTGGGTGATAGGATGTGTCAGGAGGATGAAGTTTTGTGGTAGAAAAGGGAGGGTGAAAGAGGGCAGAGCAAGAATATAGTCCTACTTTTTTTTTAAACCCTTTAGAAACAAATGACTGACTATAAGTATGCCTTGGCACCAAACTTTTAAAGGAATGCTGTTTTCCTCTTAAGAGCTTTCCTGCTCTCTAGACAGACTTGCAGAATTCCAACCTTTGACTCCCAATTCAAGAATAGAGATAGTGTTATCTTGCTTCAGTCTATCCATTCCTAAATTCAGCAGCCCATTAGCATTTTCCTAATGAGTGCTAAATATCTCAGTTTAACAAAAATTTATTAAACATCTGCTATTAAGCACTGTCATTGGTGCTGAGGACATAGACAAAATCAAAACAACTCCTGCCCTCAAGGAGATTGAATTCCATTGGTACTTAACAGTTCCATTTGGTCTTTAAAATGTATAGTGGGGGTAGGGAGGCTGAGAAAAGAGACAAAGGGCTGGCAGGGTTGGTTATATGGAGTAGAGGATGGTCAATAAGATGATCCAAAAATCAACTCTAACTGTCTGAAATCTGAAGGATTCATTTAGGGATTCATTTCTTTGAGTGAAGATGCTAGTCTAAGATACATTATTAAAATGCAAATACTTCTAGAAAAGAGTAGCATATTGAGTCATTATTGAATCATAAGCACATCTTTGTGCAAGTTTACATTTCAGATCCTTTACATCTAGATGTCTTAGCTAAGAGCAGGTTTTGATAAGGAGTGAAGTCTAGAACAAGAAATGCTTCTTAAACGGGAGCCTCCTGGAGTATCCAGGAAACAGTATGAGAGTGTTAGTTCCCATTGGGATGAAGGTGTAGTCTCTTATGATTGGGCCCTTTTAGGTCTACTGCAATAGTCCCAAATATGGTAGAATAGAAAGAATGACGAATTTGGAATCAGGGGTCTTGAGTTTGAATCTAAGGTCTCTTCTTTCTATTTGTGTGACCCTGGGTAAGTTGCTTTATACTCACAATGACTTAGTTTCCAAGTCTGCAAAATGAGGGAATTGGATTATTGGATCCCTATCTATTTTTATGATTATTTATCTATATTTACATATCTATATAAATCTGTATTTATGATTATTTTATCCTACATGGCTTACTAACCCCACTGTTTCTCCCCCATAATTCATCCTCCACATGTCTTTGAAGTCCATATTCCTTATGTCCCCAGCTCTATATCTATGATCCTATGATTCAATTATGTTACTCTTCTGTCCCAAATCCTCAATAGATCACTGTTGCTTGCTGAGCGATATTCAAGATCTTTCAAAAGACAGTACTATGCTCCTTTTCCAGCTTTATCTCATGCCACCCCACTCCAAGCATTATATATTATAACCATGATATTTTATTCATGTTCTGTACTTATCCCTCATCTTTCTACTTTTGAGCCTTTTGGCTTAGATTACTTTTTGTAGTCTATGCCTTCAAAGTCTCTTCCATTTCCTCCACCCGTTGATATCCTGCCTATGTTTTAAGGAAGTCAAATTCAAATGCTATTTCTATCCTGAAGCATTCTTCATTCCTCCAGTTCATGGTTTGGCAACTATACCCTTCCCTTCCCTCTCCATTACTCTAGTTTGCTGACCTCTGCTCTAGTGAGCAATTATCTCTTCCCTTCCCCCAAACTTGGATCCAATACTTGTTATTGTTATTGTTTAAGTCATTTTTCAGTCACATAAAACTCTTTGTGACCCATTTGGGGTTGGCTAAGATACTGGAGTGGTTTGCTCCAGATCATTTTACAGATGAGGAAACTGAGGCAAACAGGGTTAAGTGACTTGCCCAGGATCGCACAGTTAGTGTCTGAGGCTAGGTTTGAACTCAGGTCTTCCTGACTCCAGGCCCAACGCTCTATCCACTGCACTACCTAGTTGCCCCATATAACACTTAGTGACCCCCTAATGCACTTAGAATTTTGCATTGCATTGTATTTACAATAGTTATCTTTCAGGAACAATAGCAAAGTTGATTTGATCATGGTTCCAGAACTGGATGGGGAAGTGGTTTGGAGTACAGTGGCAAGGTGGTTGATAAGGCTGTTGAGAGACTGGAGTAATTGAGAAATAGAGTAAAGTGCAGAATGATTGGGTCTTCCCTGAAATAGTGGGCCAAGTGATCCATTCACCAATCAAGATAGTGAAGTCTCAGAGGAGATTGACATTTTTTATCAGTCAGTCAAAAAGCATTTATTAAGTGCTCACTATATGCCAGGCATTGTACTTAGCTCCAGGGATATAAAGAAAGGGAAAAACATAGAAACGTGGTCTCTGCCCTACAGAAGCTCACATCCTAATAGGACACACAAAATGCAAATAATTATGTCAATATAGCAGATAGACAGTACAAATAGAAGGTAATCTCAGAGGGAGGGGGGGAGAGAGAGAGGAAAAAGCACCAGGAAAAGTCTCTTGCAGAAGGTACAATTTAAGCTGTTCTTTTCTTTTAAAAAAAATGCCTTATTTAGTATTTATTTTTCCCTAGTTACATGTAAAAACATTTTTGGCGTTTATTTTTAAAACTTTGAGTTCCAAAATCTCTCCCTTCCTCCCTCTCTACCCCACTATTGAGAAGGTAACCAATTCAATATAGTCATGCAAAACATATCCATAATAGTCATGTTGAGAGAGAAAACATAGACAACCAGAACAAAACCCTCAAGAAAAATAAAGTTAAAAAAAAGTGTGCTTTGCTCTGTATCCAGACACCATCATTTCTTTTTTTTTTGGGCAATTGGGGTTAAGTGACTCTCCCAGGGTCACACAGCTAGTAAGTGTCAAGTATCTGGTCTGAGGCTGGATTTGAACTCAGGGTCCATCCTGACTCTAGGGCCGGTGCTTTGTCCACTATGCCATCTAGCTGCCCCTACCATCAGTTCTTTCTCTGGGGATGGATAGCATTTTTCATCATAAGTCCTTTAGAGTTGTCTTAGCTCATCTTATTGCTGAGAATAGCTAAGTTATTCAGTTGATCATCTTATAATACTGCTGCTACTTTGTACATAGTACATTTCACTTTGCATCATCCCAGGCAAGTCTTTTCAAGTTTTTCTGAGAGCATCCTGCTCATCATTTCTTATAGTACAATAGCATTCCACCATAATCACATACCACAACTTGTTTAGCCATTCCCCCATTGATGGGCATCTCCTCAATTTCTAGTTCTCTGCCCCCTGAAAAGAGCTGCTACAAATATTTTTGTACATGTGGGATCTTTTCCTTGTTGTTTTTTTTTAAATCTCTTTTGGGATACAGATCTAGTAGTGGCATTGCTAGGTCAAAAAGTATGCGTGATTTTATAGCCCTTTGGGAGTAGTTCCAAATTGCTCTACAGAATGGTTGAATCCGTTCATAATCCCAGCAACAGTGCATTCATGTCTCATTTTTCCCACATGCCCTCCAATATTTTTAATTCACCTTTTCTGTCCTACTAGCCAATCTAATAGGTTTGAGGTAGTACCTCAGAATTGTTTCAATTTGCATTTCTCTGAACAATAGTGAGTTAGAGTATTTTTTCATATGACTATAGATAGCTTTGATTACTTCATCTGAAAAGTGATCATATCTTTTGTTCATTTATCAATTAGGGAATGGCTCTTATTTTTATAAATTTGACTTATTTCTCTATATGTTTGAGAAATGAGGCCTTTGTCAGAGAAACTTGCTTCAAAATTTTTTCTTCACAGTTACTATTGCTAAGAGTATTTCCCTTCATCCTATTCCCCCCACTTTTTATTCTATTTTTTCTCTTTTTTCACCCTGTCCTTCCTCAAAAGTGTTTTACTTCTGACTACTCTCTCCCCTAATCTGCTCTGCCTTCTATCACCCCTTCCTTCTCTTATCTCCTTCCCCTCCTACTTTCCTGTAGGGTATGGTAGATGTCTATACCCAATTGAGTGTGTATGTTATTCCCTTTTCGAGCCAATTCTGATGAGAGTAAGGTTCACTCACTCTCCCTCACTTCTCCCCCTTTCCCTTCACTGCAAAAGCTTTTTCTTGCCTCTTTTATGTGAGATAATTTACCCCATTCTACCTCTCTCTTTCTCTTTCTCCCAGTATATTCCTCTCTCACCCTTTAATTTTATTTTAGATTGACTATCAATGAGAATATGGGCTGAAGAAAAATGCCTCATGTATTGTGTCCCAAACTTGCATGCTCATCCTCTCTCTTTATCTGATAAATACTCCCCACTATTTGGAGGTCATTACTGCATTCACATTTTTATGCTTATGCTCTTCGTCTGATAAAGACCCACTATTTGTCCCACTATTTGTGACAGCATGGTGGCTTTCCCTGGGCACATATGGGCTTCTTTTTAGAAATAAGGAATCATAAAATCATAGGATTTAGAGCTGGAAGGCAAATTAGAAATTATAGGCCAACCGATCATTTTACAAATGAGAAAACTGAGGCATAGAAAAGTGAAATTAGTCACTCAAAGTCACACAGGTAGTTAAGTGTCACAGCCAGGATTCAAACCCAGGACCCCTAACTTCAAATTTTTTTGCTTATTCCACTACACTACTCTCATATTTTGTAGAGGGGATTCCTGATCAGTCCCAGACTATATCAGATGACATTTAAAGTCCCTTCTAGCAAATTCAGCTGCCAACATCCAGGCCCATGAAATAGAAGATTAGTAACATTCAGTTACTGTGTTGGACAGGGGTTCATAGCAGAGAGGCCTTGAGCAAGTCACGAGCTCACTCTATGAGCCCCATTTTTCTCATGTGAAAATTGAAGGTGTTGGAAGAGGAGATCTCTGGGGTTCCTTCCAGTTGAAGGACTACAATCATATGACCTTAAGTGTCAAGCAAGAGAAAGAGGCAATATGAATACAAATTGCCTTGACCTTGTTATGCTCACTCAGTGTTATGAGGAAGGATTTATCTAGGATTGCTAGGGCAGTCAGAAGAGCAGAGACTGTTTGAGAAACAGGCTCACCAGTTTTGCCTTTACCTAAGAAGGGAAAGTTTTGATTGGAGCCTAGATCCTCTTTTTCATATCGTTTCCCTAGCACAGTAATACATTGCTGTGTCTTCTAGTGTCAGGTTGTTCGTTAGTAAGTGTGCAGAGTTGGTGGTGTCATTTATAAAGGTCAGGAATCTCCCTTTCACTGTTTCAGAGTAAGATACTATTGAGCCAGGGTGAATGTAAGAGATAAATGTGGGTGCTTCCTGAAGAGTGTCATGGTACCAGTATATCCAAGTTTCACTTATATTGAAACCATTTGCCTTGCAGGAGATCTGCAGAGTTTCTCCAGCTCTCCTTACATCCCCCCCCCCCCAATTCCTGGAGCTGAACCTCTGTGCCCATTCCTGTGAAATACAGAAATAGTGACTCCATGGGCTCACAAACCCATTGTTAATTCCAGAGTCTCCGAGGGAGCCTAAGAAAAAAAATTACCTTTGAAAAGCACCAGAAGGAAGAGGAGCTCCCTGCCAAATCTCATGCTGGTGATCTGAGGTAGAAAGCAAATGATTTAGGAATGGAGTCGAAAGGAGGTGATGTGAGAGATAGTGGGACCACAACTGCTCTCTCAGAGCTTAGGAAGAGAGACCTCTCCAGAAAAGGGCCAGGAAGCCAGGCTTTCATTTGACTGCTTTGCACATGAGGGTATCAGGCTCCACCTATATCTAGGAGTTAAAGAGAACTGCATACCACATAAAAATGTTCAAAGCACCATATGGCCTCGGAGATGACCAAAGTTATCAGAAATTGGCCATAAGAGCTTTGTTCTTTGGTATATTATTTCTTCAGACTAGGAAATAATTAACCAGATTTTGCAAAGGATTTTAGAGGACTCTTGGAGATGGATACTAATTTAAGACACTGGCCTCTTCTCACATATGGGTCACCTGAAAATGACCTTATGTCTGAGGCACATTATAGCTCAACATCACTCAAAATAGCAATATGGCTTTTTTTTTAAAACCAACCAAGCAGAGGACATAAAAGTTCAAAGTAAAATACAATTAACAACATAGCAAAATAAGTGATAATAAAAATTCTCTCCATGCACACAGGGTCACTCTCTCCCAAAGATTTACCACACCGTTAGTGGGGAGCACAATGTAGAGAAAACATAAGGCTAGGAAAACTCAATACTCTAATGTTGTTGCTTGTTCCACTACAGGGCCAGTGATGTCTTTGGTGATGTCATCAGGTGAACTTTCTTCCCTATTGATCCCCTGTTGGGATCCTTTACTGGTCTCCTCTCTCCATTGAGCTGTTCTTCGCTGGTCTGTTGATTTTCTGTTCCTTCTACCACCTGCTGTTCTTTAGCTGCTATATGTCTTCTTTCTACGTAGTGAGAATAGACCGATAGGATCTTTCAGTTATAATCTCATTTCTTTTGTGATGTAGTGCTCAGTTGGCTACAACCAATCAGCTAATTGGAGAAGCCCTTAGTCATTCAAATTTGCTTTTCAAACTGACTTCTTTCTGTTTCAGTGGCTATACCCTGATGCCAGTGTTCGACTTTCTTTGGGGTTAGAAAATTCCTTGCAGTGACAATTGCAGTCTAAGCAAATTTCATCCAATACTGAAAAGGGCTAGTTGGAGCTGGCACCCTTTGCCTATTTTCCCTGAAGGTAGCGAAGTTACTGTCCTCTTTCCGTTAGAATTATATGGTCGTAGGGTTGGAAGTTATCTAATCCAACTTCCGAACTAATGAAGGAGTATAATATATATAATTGTATATATATATATATATTACTTCATGCTCTCTGTATACTCTCTATAATACATATTATACTCTATAATATATATCTATAGTATCTTTCACACATGGCCATAAAACCTTTGCTTATCCACTTTCAGACCTCTATTTTATGAGGATACTTACTTCACTGATGGACAGCTCTAAAGATTAGAAAGTTTTAACATGTTGAGTTCAAATCTCACTTGTTGGAACTTCTACTCATTGGTCTTAGAGCTTAATTAGGAATGTCAATTCTACCTCCCCTTTCTCTCCACTCACCTGACCACTAGTCTAGCTCAGATCTTCATTATCTCACCCCTGAAAAATAATGATGTTTATCTCTTTATTGAGCTCCAAGCTTCATCTCCATCTCCATCTCCTCTCCAATCCATCTTCCACTCTGCTGTTGAAGTGATTCCTATAAAGCAAAAGTCTGACCGTGTTTATTGAGCAGATCATGACCTACTCAATAAACTCCAGGGCTCTCTATTATTTGAAAAAATCAAACATGAACTCTTCTGTTTGGCATTTAAGGCCTTTAACAATATAACTCCAACTTACCTTTCCATCCTATTATACCCTACCTTCCCTCTTCATTCAATCCAATCTTGCCAAATTGTTCTACTTACTATTACTCACACACAACACTGTCTTTATTCTACATGCCTTTGTACCGATGGTCTCCTATGCTTAGAATGCACATTTTCCCTCACCTCTGCCTCTTTAGCTGCCTTAAAAACTCAGCTCAGATATTATTTCCTTAATGAGTCTTTTCCTGACTCCCTCAGCTGCTAGTACCTCCTGGTTCTCACTTAATTGCCTTTTGCATTTTTGGGGGGCATTTAATTAATTTGTATATACTTGTACATGTTGTTCATGTTGTCCCCTACTATAGAATGTAACCTCTTTGAGGACAGGGAATGTGTGATTTTTGTTTTTGTATCCTCAATACCTAGCAAGCCTTGGCACAGCACAGGAGATTAACAAATTCTTGTTGATTTATTGATTGTTCTGGACACTTTTTGTTGAAACAGCCTAAAATCACATTAGCTTTTTTGGCTCCCACATCCCAATATGAATTCACTAAGCTATATGTCTTTTTCACATGAGTTGTTCTCCAGCCACATCTCCATCGCTATTCCCTTATATGGTTGAGTTTTTGAGCCCAGATGCAGAACTTTTCATTTATCCTTATTAAATTTCATCTTGTTGGTTTTAAATCCATTGATACTTTTTTGAATAGGCAAAACTGATAAATATTCCTTTTACATTTTCATCCACATCACTGAAATAAATGTCAACTAAGGAGGGGCTAGGTTGATATAGATCCATGAATCAACACTTTCGGGTTATAGTGGTTTACCCAGCTACAAATCCATGTAATCGCAATAATCATTGAGACTGTTTCTCCATTTTATCTGCAAGGCTATAATGAGATTTTCTTTGCTGAAATCAATATGCACTCCCATGTGGCCCTTTGGGTCTACTACATCCCATTGTTTGGATATTTTCACCTCCCCACAAACTTCAGGATTTGGCTTACTAGTGCCCCCTTCTGGCATTTTGATGCCATAAGTTCTGCTTTTGGAATCTGGCTCCTTCCGCCGGCTGCCCCAACTTTGTTCTGAGAGAAGACACAGATGTTCCTCTTTTTCCTGACCACAGTAAATAATTGCCTTAAAAAGTGTTTTAGGGGTTTTATTTTGCAGCCTCATGAGGAAATATACAAAAACTTAAAATGCTTTTTTAAATAGAAAATTTAGATGTTTGAGTTCTTAATAGTCCTGGCTCTGCATGCCACTGTTACCAGAACCTGACCTTAATCTTTCTGAGTTCACCACTTCTCTTGTCTGACTGAACTCACCCTCCATTATCTTGGCTTTTGAGTCAGTCAGCCTATCCACTCTTTCCTGGCCTGGGCACTAGGTTAAGTTCTAGATTTCTAGGATACACACATATACATGTATATATGTATATATAAGTATATACGTGTATGTGTATGTATGTATATATGAGCTCTCCAATCAACCTACCAATTCTGTGGCCCTGCCAATGCATCTTTTTTTTTGGCTTCCAGTCTATAAAAGGTTTACAGTCACCTTCCCCACTTTAAACACACTGGTCGTGGGCTGTATCTTTTCTTCTTGTCACCCAAGGTCACAAAGTCTTTTCTTTGGTTAGTCTTTGAAATTTGGTCATAGGTTACATGGCTTACAGATCCCTTTACCAGAGGGTATGACTAGGAAAGGTCTCTTGTAGATACCAAGATTAAATCTGAATCTTGAAGGAATCCATGGAAGACAATAGGCAGAGGTGAAGAGGGAGAGACTTCCAGGTCTGGCCCATTTTCTATTACCAATTCTGTCTTCTCTTCAGAGTTCCAAGATGCACCTTTATTTGTTTATAAGACATTATTGGGATGTCCTTCCAGTGCTTCAAACTCAGTGTCTTAAATTCAATATATTATTCCTTTCCCCCCTCCCCATTCACCCAATTTTTCATGTTTACAACCTTGGTGTTAACATGACCTTCCTTTTTCATAACCAGTCACTTAGATCTACTGATATCACCTCTACTATACCACTCACAGTCATCCCTTCTACATTCACATTACTGTCTCTCTGGTACAGGCTCTTATTGCCACTTGCCTAGATTATTACAATAGCCTCTTTAGGGATCTCCCTTCCTCTATAGTATCCCCCCCACCTACCAATCAATTTTGTATACTACAGTCAGAATAATCTGAGATCTGCCTGTGTTGCTTCTCTATTTAAAAAGTCTTCAGTGACTTCCTGTTGCATACCAAAGAAAGTTCACATTTTTGTGTGTATTGGCACAAAAATGGGCCTAATTAAAGCTTCAAACTTTAGTAACAACTCTTCCTCTTCCTTAAATATCCCTGGGAATAGGGCCCCTGTACAGTGTCTCTGTGATGATGCAGAGCTGCTCAGTTTTTAACAGCCTACAACATTCCTCTATTTCAGTGGCAAACAAGCTAGCTACTCTCAGCTTTATCTCAATCACTGTCAGCAGTTTTAAAATATGCCGTAGTCCATTTAAATATATACAGGCTTTACCAGATACCACTCCATCATCTATAGCCTCAGTCTGGCACCTTGGCAGCTCACAGGCTAGGGATCAGAAACCAAGGGGAAGGAAAGAGCCAGTGCTTAAGAAACAGGACACAGGGAGAAAGAAGGATCACTTTTTAAAAAAAATTATAGATTTTAAGCTTTTGTGGTAGGAATTTTGGGGACTAGTTAAAATTTGCTAATACCAGGTGCTATTCCAAGGACTCATAGCAACAGTGGTTTAACATATGGATCTGATTATACCCAACATTTCCCTTTGCAGGCACAAACTCCAGTAATATAAGTGACTTTTCCCAAGATTCATACCATGTTAACTTGTGAGTCAGAATTAATTTCAGAGAAGCTTATCAGAGCAAGTTCCCTTCACTGCTTCCTACACTTTCTGAGATAAATTGTCAGAAAAAAATCAAGGAATTTGTTACAGTTTAGTACAATGAAACTTCCATTATATGTTCAGATAGTTGGAAGTTCCCCAATCAGTATTATACCTTGTCTTTGAGAACATTTTAAAATTTGTATTGGAAAGCCATACTGTCTCTTTATTCAGGTGATCAATATATCTTCTGTTTCACTTTATTTTTTATATTTACTCAAATACTCTCCAGTGTAATTCTATACTTAGATTTATGGATATGTTTCTTAGCATGCAGATCTACTTTTCCATCCCCCGCCCTTTTTATTATGTTTGTTTCTTTTGAACAAGGCATACCCTTTCATTATTCTAGTTTAGTCATAGATTCCACCCCACTGAAGTTTGATGTTACCTATGAAATCTAATAGTGTTTGCATCTTTGTGCTAAGTTTACATTGTCAATTAGTTATACACTTTGTATTCAATAGCTGTAGAAGTGATATAGCTTTTTATCCTTTTACCTCTTATTCAATGCAGAGAATTATTAGATACATTCTCTATTGCAGTTAGTTGAAATTAAATGGAGGGATGACTTACAGGTCTTCCTTGGAGAGGTAAATTGAAAATCTGGAAGAAGTGGTTTTATTATATCCAAAAACAAGAAGAAACACAATTTCATGGGGCACTTGATTCTCTTATATTGAAATGGTCATGATGAACATTTGTAAATGGTGAGCCGTGAATATTATTTTGGCTTGCACACTAACTTTTCCTGCAGAGGATGATAGAGTAGATAAACTGTGATAAACTTAAAAGAGCCTTCAAATTAAATCAACATATACTTTGCTATTTGATTATTGCAATGCAAAAGTGGGAATAGGCAATGAAAAATAGCAGACTACACAGTAGTCTTGTTCCTGTATATCATGACTACTTTCTCTTAAAAGCAATTCAGGAAATGTTAGACCTGACACAAAAGCTTATTTCCAGATTCTCTGAGAGAAGGTTGTGGGACAAAGACCAGGAGAAGAGATATGGATTTTATCTGAATAACAAGAAGGAAGAAGTTGTAAAGGTTATTTGGAGACATTTGGATTTGTGAAGGAGGCAAGAGCTTGAATTTTGGAAGGACAAATATTGGAGAACCTGAGGAAAAGCTAAATAACTTGAGCTGAAGGAAAAGGACTCAAACTAAAAAAGGATTTGGTATGAAGGAATAAAAGGATTGAGGATAAAAACCTGAACAGAAGACCTCAAAGAAAAGGAAATAAAGAAGATATTTGGCAATGAAAGGTAAATAAAAAAAGGTAAGTAAAACAAGTTGGCATATTAAATTGGTCAAACAAAGGAAAGGTTAGTGAGAGATGGAAAGGTAGGAGGATATATGAGTTTCAAGTTATTAGGAAGTAGATAAAAAGTTCTAAAGTTCTTAATGAGAAGCTCAGAAGATGATATGTGGATACCCACAAGTAGATCAAAAAAGAAGACCAGGACTAAATTAGTATGGAGAATAAGTAAAAATGCTGAAGTGATTTTCATTGAGTGGGTGATATTGGTATTTCTGTCACAGCTAAGTGACTGTTAGGTTTGTTTTGAGGGCAGGCTTCTCTTCATACTAGAAGAGAAGGTGAAGGGGGTCAAACCAAACTTCCATATATTCCAGGTCATCAGGTATAATAGAATGTTCCTAAAAAACCAACAACCACCTAGAAGTGAGGTTTCAATAGGAGAAAACAAAAGGATCTGAAGTATCAGAGGAGAAATTTTACTTTATCAGGAATAATGTCATACAGAAGTAGGAAAGGAAAGGGTCAACTATACATTTGGAGCTAAAAAAATTGTGGCTCTTCCTAAAGATGAAGAAATTGTATGTTTTGAGGAAGAAGTAGCTGATTGTTCTCCAATGAATGATGAAGTAGAACCACAGAAGCTATTAAGGGAAAGATCACCCAGTAAAAATCAGAAAAAAGTAGAGAAGGAAAATGGTGTTTGATAAATCCCTGATAGGGTGTCTTGAGACAATTATCTGCTAATCTGATAACAATAATAGAGAGGTCTATTGTCTGCCCAAGGCATGTATCCAAGACAAAACAGAGAACCTTTGAAGACATGTGAGAATGAAAAACTACTACCTATTTCTGGTGATTCACATAGGCAAAAATGACACTATCAGAGGGAACCTTAGAAAAATTTTGTCAAAGACTACCATGGGCAAGAAACTAAAGAACAGAATTGGTAGTATTTTCCTCACTATTGCCCATTGACAGCAAGGGTTCCAGAAGAGAAAAATCAATTTGGAAAGTAAATTGCTGGATAAGAGGGCAGTGTCTGGGAATGAGATTTGGACTTCCAGACCACAGTTTAAATAGAGGAATAGTGTGATCCTAGCTAGGGATGGAGTGCAACTAACAAAAGATGATAAAAATGTCCTGGTGTCTTAAAAACCTAATCACAGGGGCTTACTCAAAAGGATGGTGAAGGGAGAAAGCTATCTAGACATCCAACCAGATAGTACGGAAAATAGTTATAGTAAGAACATCAGTTGAGACACGAGAGGTCTATAGAAAACACAGTCCAAGAAAACAGTCAGTATTAAGGACCATTGGCTCAAATATCTATATAGAAGTGCCCCAAATTTAGGCCAAAAACTCAAAATGAACTTGAGCTTCTAGTAAAAAGAGGTAAATTTGACCTCAGAGGCATCACTGAGACTTGGTAGAGTTTAACTCATGATTGGAACATGATATTGGATGGGTATACCTTATTAAGGGTAGCTAGGTGGTTCAGTGGATAGAGTGCCAGGCCTGGAATCAGGAGGACTTGAGTTCAAAGTTAGTCTCAGACATTTACAAACTGTGTGACCCAGGGCAAGTCACTTAATCCTGTTTTGCCTCAGTTTCCTCATATGTAAAATGAGCTGGAAAAGGAAATGGCAAATGGCACTTTAGAATCCTTACCAAGAAAACCCCAAATGGAGTAATGAAGAGTTGGATATGACTGAAATAACTGAACAACAACAATGCCTTATTAAAAATAAAGGTAAAAGAGGATGGATTGAGCTAGCACTATATATTAAGAAGGAATATATGTGTGAGTAAATACAGGAGGTGGTAGGGGTGGAAGGAAGCGTACTGGAGAGGATTTGGATAAAGATCAGTGGAGGAATAGATAGAAGTGATCTTGTCTATGGAGTATATTAGAGATCACATAGATGGAAAGATGAAAGAGTAAATAGATGAGGAGTTGTAGAAACAAATCACATGCTTAGCACAGAAGCATAAAGGTATGGTAGTAATTGGTAGTAAATCTGGATCTGTGATCCAGATATCTGCTAGAGCATTCTCTCAGTCAAAAGCAGAACAACTAATAATTTCTTGACACATTTTAATTATATTTTCATCCTTAAAAGGTAGATGAATGAATTAGGAGATGTTGTGTCCTGGATCTCATTTTCACTTATAAGATGAAACTAATTTCTGATATGGGAATGATGAGACTTTGAGAAGAAGTGAGCACTTACTTCTAGTGTTTGCAATAGAAAAGAGGAAAACCATAGTCTGACATCCACCTAGATTTGGGGAGAACAGATTTCAAAGGGGTTAGAGGAAATCCAGGTATGATCCAGAAGAGAACTAAAACTCTAGATGAAAAGTCACCCCAGGAAGGATGAGAAAGTTTTTAAGAATGAAATCCTGAAGACAAAATAGGAAATAATTCTAAGGAGATGGGAAAATGGGAATTGTCTGAAGAGACTGATGAGACACAAAAGAGCTCACCAACCAGCTTTAATTTTAGAAATATATGTAAAGAATGCGGAAGCAAGGGAGAGTAACAGAGGATGAATCCTAAAAGATCTTGTCAAGCTAGAACATCGTGTTGAATCTAGAAATGTGGAATTTAATAGAGACAGGTGCAAAGTCTTATACTTAGGTGAAAAACATTAGCTTCACAAGGATAAGACCTATGAGACCTAGTTAGATGGCAGTTTTTCTGGAAAAGATCTGAAGGTTTTAGTAAACATAGTATATGTAAACAGTGTATTGTGTCACTTAACTTTTCAGGACTATAGGAAACTTTCTAAATTTCAGAAAAGGTACCTGCTTTTTGTAGAGTAAGTTTTCTAATCCAGAAGTTTCCTATGCCAATGAAATCACAGTTTCAGTCCCCATCCTTGTCCTGTGGTTGATGAAGGTCTGAGAAAGGAACAGATAGATTTTTTCAAATGATATTCTAGAAGATACCATATTTTTATAGTCACACAAATGAATAGACAGTGTAGAAAATACAAGATACCTCTGTTTGTTGACTATAAAAATGATCTGATAAAACAAAATGCTGCCTTTCCCCCCTCTTTTAAATAGTATTTTATTTTTTCCAATTATATGTAAAGACAATTTAAAAAAATTATTTCTATATAAAATTTTGAGTTCCAAATTTTCTCCCTCCCTCTCATCACCCCTCCCTAAGATGGTAAGCAATTTGATATGGATTTTATATGTTCAATCATGTAAAACATATTTCCATATTAGTCATGCTGTGAGAGAAGAAACAACAAAAGGAGAAAACCATGAAAAAATAAAGTGAAAATAATATGCTTTGAGCTGTATTCAAACTCCATTAGTTCTTTCTCTTGATGTGGATAGCATTTTCCATCATGAGTCTTTTGGACTTGTCTTGTATCATTTTATTGCTGAGAAGAGCTAAGTCAGTTATAGTTGATCATCACACTATGTTCCTGATTCTGTGTACATTGTTCTCCTGGTTCTGCTCACTTCACTTTGCATCAGTGCATATAAGTCATTCCAGGTTTTTCTGAAATCTGCCTGCTAGTCATTTCTTATAGCACAACAGTACTCCATTACATTCATATACCATAACTTGTTTAGCCATTCCCCAATTGATGGGCATTCCCTCAATTTCCAATTCTTTGCCACCACAAAAAGAGCTGATATAAATATTTTTGTACTTGGAGGTCCTTTCCCTTTTTTTAATGATCTCTTTGGGATATAGACCTAGTAGAGGTATTGCTGGATCAACGGGTATGCACAGTTTAATTTTACTTTGGGCATAGTTCCAAATTACTCTCCAGAGTGGTTGGATCAGTTCACAACTCCTCCAGCAGTGCATTAATGTCCCAATTTTCCAACATCCTTTCCAGCATTCATAATTTGCCTTTTCAGACATATTAGCCAATATGATAAGTGTGAGGTGGCACTTCAGAGTTGTTTTAATTTTCATTTCTCTAATCAATGGTAATTTAGAACACAAAATGCTGCTTTTAAGGCACTTTTCTGACAGTGTACATGCCCTGCCTATATTCAAATTATCCAAGACTTCTTGAAAGATGTAACAAAAATATAACTTTGTTCAATGATACTCTTATCATAAATATTAAGCAAGGCATGAAACAGGGAAACATGCTTGTCAAAGGTGATTACCACCTCTGTGAAGGATGTCATGCACAGAGTCCAAATTAAGGAAGAATTACCCAAGGACAGTGAAGTTGTTCAGATGTTCTTATTTTTAGATGACATTTTATAGATTGTACTAAGCAGTGAAACATCACGGAACTTCCTAAATAACCTTCATGCAGAGTTCCACATGGGAAAAACCAAGGGGATGAAGAATGCCTATTGTTCAACCCAGGATATTCATGGTGGTTGATCAGTATGTTCTTCAGATAGATGGTGGATTTATTCAGGAATTGAATGGGAGAGAACGAACTGGATTGCTTTGGGGAAATTGTACAGTGCTTTTAATGACCCTAAGCTTCTCTTTCAAACAAAGACTCATCTTTGCCAATATTCTTCCAATGATGCTATATGCTTCAGAAGCATGGAAGACCAATCTCCAAATAATTAAAATTGTAGGTCACTTAGAGGACAATGAAGAAATATGTATTATCATGAGCAAGCATAACACTGATGCAGAACTACAAAGAAGAATCAGTACCAAAGATATTATCAAAGATATCTATAGTTGGAAAAGTAGAAAGGCAGTCATATAGTAAAAGAAAGGGATAGCTGCTATTCAGCCTGTGTGATCCACTGACGCCCACATAATGTCAAGAGATTTAGAATAACTCCAACAGCACTACTAGATGCAAAGGGAAGAAGGAACTTTTCTCCACTTTTCTGCAGTCAGGTTAATGGTGGGTTTTTAAAAGAGGAATAATTAGCTGCCATCTATATATAGCCTCTCTTGACCGTATCTAGCAAAAACTTTTATAGGGGCTCTCGGGAGCTGATGAGTGCAATCTGGGGAAACAATGTAAGGGTAACTACTGGTGTTTCTTCCCCCCTCCCCACCCCAGCTCTCACTTGTCCTATACTGGGTCCATCCTCTTTAGGAATTATCTAAATGTCTCTGTAATTCTTTGTTCAAGTCTTAAGTGACTGAGTAGGAGGCACATAGGGCAATTGAAAGCACATTGACTGTGGAATCAGAAGATATGGTTTCCAATCCCACATGTGAGACTTACTTGTTACCTTGGGCAGGCAATTTAACTGGACCTCACTGTTCTCATCTGTAAAATGAAAAGATAAGACTTGACACCCTCTAAGGTCCCTTTCAGCTTTAGCTCTGTAAAGCTATGATCCTAAGTAGGAAGCTCTCAATTGGCTCTGAGAGTCAACGTTTCCCTCTACCCACTTTCCTTTGAGTTCTTCCGGAAGAAGCCAGGCTCTTATTGGAGTTTGACTGTAGGTTTCTGAATTACTTAGAAGTGGAGCTGAAGCACTGTGATGATCAGATGCACAGTAGTAGATTCCATTGTCTCTCACTGATGGCTTGATAATTTTAAGTGTGAACTTATTGTTGGTAGAATCAATCGCACTCTGAAAATTCTCCATGTTACATGAGTTGTCTTCACATATAAATGTCAAAGTGTTGTCCTGGTTCTTTCTGTTCCAGTACATGTAATAGTTATTTATAGATCCTCCTGTCATGCTGCACTTGAGTGTGCTGACCCCTCCAACCAGGACAGTCACAGCCTTTTCTTGTTCTAACACAATTGCTGGTATGACTCCTGAAAGGAAAAGAAAGGTCAGTGGGGGAGCTTCAGCTATGCTGGGACTGGAGTTGTTGAGCAAGAGCCATTGGGAATCTCCATCTTACCCTCCACAGCAAAAATCTCAGGACACAGATCTCAGGAGACCTCAGTCTTTGCACCTCTGATTATTTTGGCTATTTTTGTTCTGAAGTCCAAGGAATAATTCTTACCTTCACCAAAAAGAATGAAACAGATGAGGAGGTAGATCCACTGCATGACTTCACTGTAAGAGTGACTCTGCTTTTGAATTAGTCAGACAGTTTCCTTCTCTTTCAAGCCATCACATGTTCAGTTGACATCCTTTTGTTTGAAGAAATAAGCTGATCAGCTGATGGTCCAATACCAGGAGAAGTGTTTTGTCAATCACAGAAAGAACACAATGCCTGTTACCTTTTCATGTGGAATAACCAAGACCGGGTAAAATGAGTCTAAGGAGAGAATTGGGTCAACAGCAGGTTTTTCTTTTTATATATTAACTAATTCTTTTTATATATTTTATTATTTATATATTTATATTTAATTTTTATTTATAACATATTTATATATAATATTTATTTATAATTAATATTTAGATATTAACTAATAACTATGTCTCTCTGATGATATAATTAGAATTAATCATTTTCACATCAGATGTTTCTGCTGGATGCTTGGTTGGTCATCTTGACAAAGCTAATAATGAGCAGGGGAATTAGTGTCAATCTCAAATTTTCTAGCTGGAATGATCATTGTATTTAGTTATTTAGATGGCTTTATTTTGCCTTTTAGGCAAAGTTGGAGGAGGTGATTAATCTTAGTACAATGAAACCCCATATTGTTTAACTGGACCAATTTTCAATTCAACAAGTGTTAGGATGGACGGGCATGATAGCACAGTATGTGGTAGCAGAATGCTTAGCACATAAAAGACACTTAATAAATGCTAGTTGACTGACTTGAGTGATTAATCCATGATATGGGAGAAACAGGATGGTGGATAGATTGAGCCTGGGAGTTCTCAGCTGCAGTAGAACTAAAGCTGATCAAGTATCTACACCTTAAACCAATATGATGAACCTCCTGGAGCAGGATGCTACCAGGATGCCTAAGGAGGAGGAAGCTGGCCCAGGTTGGAAATGGAGAAGGTTCAGATCTTCTGTCCTGATCATCAGAGGGCCTGTTGCAATCTGGTATGGGAGAGTTTCAAAAAACAAACAAATAAAAACAACAAAGCTCAATAACAGCAACACCAAAACCTCTCACACATCTATTATGTATCTAGAATATGTTATAGGTATTAGGGAAAAAAGATAAAAAAGTGAAAACATATTCCCTGCCCTCAGGGAGCTTAAATTTTATAGAACATGAACTAGAATTTCCTGACTTTTACTATATTTGCTTCTTCTCTGTTTTCAAAAGTTATCTTTGTGAGACTATATAAAGTAAAGATATAAAAAAACAGAAATATACCATTTGCATATCAATCTATATCAGCTTTGTTTCACAGTCTGAATTTATTTGATCTTCGGAATAGAAATGTCAAATTCTTGTGATCTATTTGTTTATTCAATTAAAATTTTTTGAATTAACAAATATCTATTTTCCTTCCATCTCTCTTTCCCTTTCTTTTCTTTATGCCATTAAAAAAAAGAAAAAAAAAACAAAATCCTTGTAACAGATATGCAAAATCAAGCAAAAACAATCCTACACTTTTGAAATTCTTAAAATAGGTGAGTGAATAATGAAACATGGGAATTGAGGAAGCAGAGACTGGAAAGAGAGGGCCAATTATATTGCCAAAGATGAATAAAGACCATTTTTGACTATGGCCAAAATACCTCCTCCCCTCTACCCTATTTATGTAATTACAACCATGGAATCCTAGCATTGGAAGGAATCTCAGAGGTCATATTAGGTTAATAATTGTTAGTTGAATTGGTCTATTAGCCCAGCTCTTACGTTGTCTCAAACAGCAACCCCCTTTCCAATTTCTCTGACAAGAGATCAGCCTCTACTTTAAGACCTAATGTCAGTGAGCAGGCATTTATAAGCACTTACTCTATACCAGGAACTGCGCAAAAGAAAGACAAAATCTTTCTTCGTGTCCTCAAGCTTACATTCTAATGGGGAAAAACAACACATTTATTAGGTTTTCTTATGTGTAAGGCTATTTTCTGTAGAGTAGTTCCTTTCATAGAGGATACACTTATTTTTGTTGAATTGTTCTTAGCATATGGACTATAGCTAATTTTTTCAAGATAATTCCTTTTGGGGGTAAAAGCAGGGTTTGGAATGGGTGACCTCTTAAGTCCCTTCCAACTCAGATTCAATTATTCTCTGAAAACAAAATTGCCTCCCTGGCCCCACTGGGGGGACAGATGATCCAGAGTCCTTGTTTAAATGAAAAATCAATAAGGTAAGCAGAAGACAGGAAAAGAGAACAAAAGTGAAATAATTCAGGAGGACCAGAAAGAATGTGCTGCTCATAGAGCTTGTGGAGATAGGAAAGAAAGGTCTAGTTGAGGTTGGAAATAAGAAGTTGAGGACCAAAAGATAGCTCTATCATTTCCTCCAGTGATTTGGGGAGCTCAGAGACAGTTCCATTTAGCTTAGGGGAAAGGGCAGGATACAAAGAGTATAGATAGAGATTTTTCAGAGAGTTAATCACAAATAGACTATACTAAATGACTAGATAGAGATACTTAGAATTAAGAAACCTCTAAGAAGGATGTAACTGATAGGTTGGATCATGTTGGACTCTGTTTCTCCAAGTTGCTTTCCCCCTCTGTGCCTCAGTATCCTCATATGTAAAATTAGAGGACGATCTTGAAGGCTCCTCTGAATTCTGACATCCTGTGCATTTGTAATTACTGCCCCTATGTAGCTCATACTCTTATGTACTCAAAGCTCCTGTGCAGTAAAATACTTGAAGTATATCCTATTCACTTTATCTTAAGTGACCTCCTTCTCAATGAAACCTTTTTAGTTACTCCAGTCCAAATTGATTTCTCCCTCCTCTAAATTCCTATCGTACTGAACCATATGTATGACCATTTTTATCCTTAATCACATATTTTTGCATTGTACTTCACTCTTTATATGTGTATATGTGTGTGTTTGACTGTGTGACTTGTGCATTTAATTAACTTATAAACTCCTTAGAGGTGAGTGTATTATAGATGCTCCTTAGGTAATGGTAAATTAAATTGATATCATTTTGTTGCGTTTTGTTGCTGAAGGTCTCATGGCTAATAAGTGGCCAGACTGGGACTCAAATCCTGGTTCCCTGACTCTGCTGGCTAGTTCCAAAATACCTCTCCTGTTATGAACCAGATCCTAGCCTAGGAACTGGGAGGTAAGGGGTGGGTGCTGACAAATGTTTAACAATTGGCTGTCCTATATACATACATACATGTATACACACATATAATACACACACACACATATACATATATATAAACTTTTAAAGTTTAATTTACATTATTAACATTTCCTCCATTACTTTCTTAAGTCTAGGCAACTAACAGAACAATAAATCAAACCTTGATTTATAGTGGTTGCCTATTTCCAAGGTGTAAATGCTCACCCTGAAAATTTAACAATTGACTCTCACAAGCTGGTTTGAACCGGCTCCAGAACAACCCTGGTGGGGTAGGACACAAAGATGGGTAATTCAGGAAGCTTTGGTTCCCTTTTATGATGGACTTTTCTTGTTTTAAGGTCCACAGGATTGTTCTTACCCACACAGAGGAGCATGGATCAGACAAAGAGACAGGTCCACTGCATAGTTTCACGGGGAGGATGATTCTGCCTTTGAGTCTCTGCCCAAAGAGTCTCCTTCCTTTTTCAGCCATCAAACTTCCAGTGATATATTTGTGTACTCTTGACCTCAACCTTACATTGAGGAAATATGCCTCAACTACCAGCTGTGCTGTCTCCAGGAAATATCTGGTTGGTTACATGTAGAGAGAGTCTGGTGCCTTTTCTTTCTTTTAGAACTGACTGATTGGGCATATTGCTTAACCTCTCTGGTCCACGGTTTTGTCATCTGTAAGAGAAGGGGGTTGGATTAGATGACCTCTCTCAGCTCTAGATGTATGATCCTATGACAGTTCTTTTGCCAGGGCCAGGTTAAAGTTTGGACAGGAGAGGTTTGCTATTTAACTCTTGACTGCTCCTAATGGATCTCTCTCTCCCCACATTTATGAATGTGACTGCTAGTTTTGCTACAATTTATTCATATGAAAGGGAGCTGCTTATGTGCAAGGGACTTATTGAGTTGTCAAATCCCCAACCTTCCGCAGCACTGAAATCACATGACTACAGCACAGAGTATAATAGAAGACATTAATATATCTGGCATTATTTTTAGTAGAAGCTAAGTGCCTGACACAGAACTCTGCCCATGGTGGGCACTCAATAAATGTTGATGGCTGACTGAAAACAAATAAACACAGAAACAAAATGGGAAGAGAGATTTGAGTGTAATCGAGAATTTCAAGTAAACAAAAGAAGACAGTAAAAATATGAAAAAAAAATTTCACATCCCACTGTGTTATCGAATTCTTTGCCAGAAGGATATAATAGGATCAGCTCTTCAAATAGAAAACAGATAAATAAAATAGTGTGAAGGAAATGAAATATGAAGACAAACAACATGTAAGAAGAGATGAGGACAAACAAACCGGAGAAGGTTAGGAAGGCAATGGAGGGTAGAAATTATAATGCCATGGAATCCTGTTAAGGGATGAGGACAATGCCCCTTTTCTTTGTCATATTGAAAGAGATGGATACCAGAGACCTGACTTCTGAACAGGTGTTTATCCCCACATAGCCCACAGGTACTTTCCTTCCTCTTGGAATTGTAGGTCTCTTCACAGTTCATTAAGAGCCCTTCATTTCCAGATTTTCCCAAGTTATTGGCCAACATCTCTCTACCCTACCTCACTTGAAATCACTTTGCATGCATTTTGTATATAATCACATATTTGCTTAGCAGCTATAGGCTTAGGACTGAAAGGGATCTTAAAAGGAGAGGCAGTGTGGTATGGTAGAATAAACAGAGAAGATCTAGACTAGGAGGATCTGGGTTCAAATTCTCCCTCTAATGCTTTGCTGTTCAGTCATTTTCAGTCATGTTGGACTCTTTGTGACTCCATTTGGGGTTTTCTTGACAAAGATAACTGGTGTGGCCTGCCATTTACTTTTTCAGATCATTTTATAGATGAGGAAACTGAGGCAATCAAGGTTAAGTGACTAATAAGTGTCTGAGGCCAGATTTGAACTCATGAAGATGAGACTTTCTGATTCTAGGCTCCACCCTCTAACCACTAGCTGACTCCAACGTTTACTATCTGTTCAAACCTGGGCAAGACACTTAGCTTCTCCTAGCCACAGTTTTCTCATGGGCAAGGTTAAAGGGTTGGACTAAATGGCCTTTGGTGTCCCTTTTAGGAATATGAGCTAGGGCTTTTTAGTATCAAATTTCATACAGGAGGAAACTGAGGCCCAGAGAGATTAAATGAATTAGTCAAGATCATATAGGTAGTAAATGGTAAAAATCTGATTTGACCCTAAGCTCCTTGACTACAATTTTCTAGTCAGTTTTTTTTATTACCACACTTCACTAAATTGTTTGTGAACACATTATAACCCCCCTTTTCAGCAGAAAGTAAGGTTCTTGAGGTCAGGGACCTTTTCACTTTTATATTTATATCCCTAGTGAGTAGCAGAGTGTTTGGTACCTAGTAGGCAATTACTACATGTTTATTGACTGATTTCAGTCTTGACAACATTCTATGACTGTTCTATGGTTGGCCAGCATTTAATGCTTGAAGAGACAGAGAAGGGAGTGTGGCACCAGCCATCTATTATTTTTATTACCTATAGTGCCTTGCACATTCATTATAGGCACTCATTAAATATTTGTTGAATGAATGAATAAATGATTCCTGTCTTCCTGACCCATGTCTGGTACCGCTGTTATAAGTCAAGTTGAGTTAACTACGAATCTGGTGGTTCCTGGCCCTGGCTATGTAGACAGGTTCTTGATCATTACCTCGCCCGGGTCTCTTCTCCCCCGTGTCCTATTCTGTCCCTCTTAGAAGAGGGAATGCGTTCAAAGGAACCTGATAGCCATGAAGTCTTACAATCCATTATGATTTTATTGCTATGAGTGGGGGGGGGGTGGAACAATTGAATTTACAGCATTAGAGTCCGACACTTTCTAATTAATGTGCTGCTTTTTAAGAAAGCCATTTTTCAACTTTGAGCTCTCAACTTTTTGTGCTGTCCTCTTTTTTTTTTTCATTTTTGGAGGGTAGGGGAGTGTATCCCTTAAAGAGAAACAAGGAATTTAAAGAATGTTTCCTTTTGGAGGTTTGGTTGGTGAATGACTCAAATATGGCATACATCCCTGTTCCTGGTTTTGGCTCACTTTTCCCTCAAGGGTTTATCTCCAGTAGGTCAAGAGTATGTATGTATGTATAAATATGTATGTGTGTGTATATATATATATATGAACATATGCATATGTGTATGTGTACATATGTATATATGTGTGTATGTGTATACATGTATGCGTGTATATATATGTGTGTGTATATATATATGTGTGTGTGTGTGTGTGTGTGTGTGTGTGTGTGTGTAAAAATGTGTGTATGTATTGTTAAGGACTGTTAAGATGATTAAAGGGTCCCCTGAACTTGTCTTTTTAAGGTGCCATATTTTCCAGAAACATTGGAGCATGCAGGAGGCCCTGAATGTGTTAAGGACGAAGCTCTGCACAAGCTGACCTAATTTGTTGTTTGCATTCCAAACTGGACTGCTTGTGTGTCCTTGGGAGTCAAGACAAGTGCCAGACAGTCTGCACTAGGCTTGTGCAGCTGGAGCCCTTGTAGATAAGGACACCATTGTATCTTCATGGTCTAGCAGTTTCCAAGGGAAAAGAATGTGGCTTTTGCCTCGCCTCGCTCCTCCCCTTTGGGTGGGGTTTTGTCCTTCTCCCACCTTTACTGCACCTTTTCCCTCTCATGTCTCACCCCTTTAGTTGGAGATGTGTGATTCTCCTCCTCCTTTTATTATACTGCCATAAACATGCAAACTTCTGTTTGGATTGTGAACTCTTTGGATTCCACATTTATGTTCATTTCTCTTGCAATAAACCTCGTTTTCACATAAGTTTTGTGAAGTTGTGATAGCCTGTTGATAATATCTCTATTAATAAACCTACATATTTGCAAATATGTATTTCATTTTCTGTTTATAAGCTTTTCTATTTATGGAAACGCACTTACTGAGAGGTATGCTATTACAGTTATCATCAGGACTCCACTGATTTTGGAACTTTCAGCTGGAATCAGTGTCTACTTTTCCTGCCTTCATGCCTCAGTCACACTGAAGAAAGCATGTGTCTCCAGTCACTCTACTGAGACTCAAATCTCTCACTAGCTTTAATAACACAAATAAGGATTAGTGTCCACCAGCTTTTTTAATGTATGAAGAGGGGAATAAAAAGATGGCAATGAAAGGACAGTGAATAATGAGGGCACAGTTTGTCTGGACAGGAAGAAACTAGCAACCTGTGAGCCAGCTCCCAAGAAGAATCAGTTCATTTTGCTGAGCTTAACCTTGTCCCAAAGTGAGAAGGAATTGTGCACCAGATTAATGGAGGTGTGTATTGAGCTAATATGTCTTTAACAGGCAAGCAAGGAGAAAAGCAAAGTCCTCTTTCACTCTATGATCACACCAGCATACTTCATCAGTTCCTGTCTAGCATATAGGAGAAAGGTTTCTCTTTAGTTTCTAATTTCCATTACCTGCAATGGGAGATCTTTGAGTTCTCATCAGAAAGGGGCAGGAAAAGCACACCCAAAGACTGATCTTTCCATGTGGTAGGGAGCTGGGATGTCTGTTTGTCCTAGCTGCTGGCTTCTTTCTCTGAGACGTCTCCAAAACAATTTGAAAAATCAAGTTTCAAAGATGTTACCAACCAGTGAACTCTATAATAGTGTCTGATTGAGTTTTCATCTGCATAGCAACAACCTCAAGGCTGAGATTCTAGGAACCCAGGGCTGCAGAAGAAACTTAAAAAAAAAAATCTCTTGGGGCAGCTAGGTGGTGCAGTGGATAGAGCACCAGCCCTGAGTCAGTAGGACATGAGTTCAAAACCAGCCCCAAACACATAACACTCACTAGCTGTGTGACTCTGGGCAAGTCATTTAACCCCAATTACCTCTCCAAAAAAATCGTCTCCTGGATCCAACCTGTTACAGAACCTTGGGGACAATCGTCTTCATTAACCTTTGTTGTTCAGTAGTTTCAGTCATGTCTGACTCTGTGACCTCATTTGGGATTTTCTTAGCAAAGATACTGGAGTGGTTTACCATTTCCTTCTCCAGTTCATTTTACACGTAAGGAACTGAGACAAACAGAGTTATGTGACTTGCTTAGGTTCACACAGCTACTAGATGTCTGAGGTCAGATTTCAACTCAGGAAGAGGAGTCTTCCTGATTTCAAGTCCAGTGCTCTATCCACTGCACCAACTCGCTGCCCTTCATTTATCTATTCAATGGATTACTCTATGAACATCGTCCATTGCTTAGTCACAACACCATGGTCATTTACTCTCCTATAGATGAAACTTCAGCTCTCTTTTCCTATCTACCAATTACACCCTTATATAGTTATAAATTTTCCCTAATTATAAGAATGGAATTGACTTTATTTTGTTTTTCAAACTTTTATTGATATTCTTCGTTTTTACTTCTTTATTTCTGAATATATGCTTTCTCCTCCTCCTCCATAGTGAATCATTCTTTGTAGCAGAAAAAAAGAAAGATAATAAAGCAGTTCAGCAAAGTTACCCAACATATCAACCAAGTCTGACAGTAATTGCAATGTTCTATACCCACTTTATGCCATCTCTGCAAAGAAAGGAGGAAAGTACATTTTAAAAATCTCTTCTCTGAGGTTAAGTATGGTCATCAATAAATTACACAGTGTTCAGTTTCCTTTCTTTGGTCTTTCAATTTGTGTTGTTGAAGTGATTGTGTTCATTATTTTCCTCTTTTACTTACTTCACTCTGCACTGGTTCTTTATAAGTCTTCTCGTGCTTCTCTGAATTATCCATATTAAGTCAGTCAGTAAATATTTATTAAGCACATACTACGTGTTAGGCACTATTTCTTATGCATTCTAATCCATTCATGAATCACAATTTGTTTAGTCATTCCTCAATCAATGGTCATCAACTTTGTTTTCAGTTCTTCGCTACCACAAAAGCACTGCTATGCCTATTTTGTTTTGTATGGGGACTTAGTTGATATAAATATATTTGTTGTAGGTTTAATACTGAACATAAGCAAAACTAATCAAAGTTTCTTTGTGACTATTTTTATTTAAATGAATACTTTTAATACCTGAAACATTTTAACTTTTCAATCATTTTCTCTAAATCTCCATCAGGATTTTTCGGTCTGTTTTTTCTCATTCACTTTACCTTTTTGATGGGGGTAATTAATGTGTATTCTGTTCTGTTTCTGCTTTTTTCACTTTGCATTATTTCATAAAAAATTCTAATGCTTGTCAATGTTAACTATAGCACAGTATTCCATTATGGTAGTAAATTATGATTTATTTAACAGTTCTATTACTGTCAAACATTTAGACTATGTCCTAGTGGGATTTTTTTTTGCAATCACAAATAATACTGCCATAAAAAATCATTGGATTGATAGTTTTTCTTTTTTTCTTTTTTTTCTTTTTTGACACTACTTTCTGAATGTATTCCCCACAATGGAATTATTAGGTCAAGGAATATGGCTGTGTTTTGTAACTTTTACTATTTGGCTTAATTTGCTTCTAATTGGAAGAGAAAAAAGGAAGAACAACAAACAATAGGTTTGCCCTGGCAGATATGCTTTTTTTCTGGAGGTCTGTGTCTGATTTAGGATCCAATTCCTTTTATGTGCACCAGTCACACAGTAATTCATGGTAGCACCTATCTGCTTCAAATAGCTCACTTGTAAATATAGTTGATTTTTGTCATTTTATCTGTATGTAACAGGGGACTGGCCCTCTCACTCTGGGCTAGCACAAAGCTAAGCGTGCATGGAAATAATAATGCAGGATTGCCCAATGAGCACAGGTCTTAAGAACATATACAGAGTGCTTGCCTGATGTACTTCCTTTCCCTCCATGTGAAAGAGACTGAGGAGCTTGCTTTTCGAGAAGTTGGATACAGAAGCTGCACAGGAGATGTTAAAAAACCTTTTAATTTCCTTCATGCCACCACTGGATTTCTTCATTTGAATATAAATGAAGGATCAGAGAACATCCTGCTTTCTCCATTCCCCCTTGTTCCTGGTGTATCAATGGTTAGAGAATGATGATGGTTTGTTTTCAGTAAGGATTATAATGAAAAACAATGTTAGTTGGAAACCCATATTAGTGATTTAACTTGTCACTGGTGCTGAGGGATGGAGCTATATTACCTAAGTTAATTTACTTATTCAGTACCATAACAATCAAACCATGAAAGGATTACTTTATAGAACTAGAAAAAGGAAGAAGATCTAGCAGTACTATACAACAAATTATTCTACAAAGCCATAATCATCAAAATAATTTGGTATTGGGCAAAAAATAGAGAGGTTAATCATTGGAACAGATTAGGTTCAAAATGTACAGAAGCAAACAAGAACAGTAGTTTAGTGTTTCATAAATCCAAAGATCCCAGTTATTGGGGCAAGAGTTTACCATTTGACAAAAATGATTGGGAAAACTTGAAAGTAATCTGGCAGAAATTAGGCATAATTCTTCTCACATAGTATGCCAAGACAAGTTCCAAATGGATACATGATTTAGATATAAAGAGTGATATTACAAACAAATTAAAGAAGTAAGGAAGAAATTACGTGTTATCTCTATGGGTAGAGGAAGAGTTCATGACCAATCAAAAGAAGGAGATGTTCACAGAAGGTAAAAATTACATAAAAAATTTAAAAAGTCTGCATAAACAAAACAAACAAAATTAGAAGATGAACAGACAATTCTTTGCTGCAAATTTTACTGAGAAAGGTATTGTTTCTAAGATATATAGGAAACGGAATTAAATTTACATGAAAAAGAGTCATTGCCCAATTGTTAAATGGTTAAAGGATGTAAATAGGTAGCTGTTGGAGGAAGAAATCCAAGTTATCAGTAGCCATATGAAAAAATGCTTTAAATCATTAATAATTAAATGCAAATTAAAACAACTCTAAGATACCATGTCACATCCATCAGATTGGCAAAGTTGACAAAAATGGAAAATGACAAATGGTGGTGGGGCTATGGGAAAACAGGTACATTAGTGCACTGTTGGTGGAGCTATGAACTGGTACGGTTTTTCTGGAAAGCAATTTTGACTTATGCCCCCAAAGCTGTCACATTATGCATATCCTTTGACTCAGTGATAACACTAATAGGTCTATACCTCAAAGAGATTAATGAGAGAGAAAAAAGAGACATATGCACAGAAATATTTATAGCAGCTCTTTTCATGGTGGTTAAGGATTGGAAACTGAGTAAGTGCCTATCAATTGGAGAGTGGCTGAACAAGTTATAGTGGATAAATGCGATGGGATACTACTGTGCCATAAGAAGTGATAGAGGGGATGGTTTCAGGGAAGCCTGGGAAGACTTCTATAAACTGATGCAAAGCAAAGTGAGCAGAATCAGGAGAATAATTTATGCAATATCAATAATATTATAAAGGCAAACAACTTTTAAGGACTTAGTAACTGTGATCAAAACAATGACCAACTATAAATCCAGAAGATTCATGATGAAACATGCCATCCATGTTCAGACAGAGAAAGAGAGAGAGGTGATGGACTCAGAGTACAACCTGAAGCATTTTTTTGGACATAGATAATGCTTGAATTTATTTTGCTTGATTATGTATTTGTAATGGGTTTTATTTTTCTTGCTTTCTCAAAGGATGGTTGAAAGGAAATCAGAGGGAGATAATTTGGAACTGAAAATAAATTTAATTTAAAAATTCATAAGGCTTCATTGGTGTTAAGTCATCATTTATTCACTCATTCAAGTGGAGCATTCTGCTAGGGGTTGGAGTACATACACAGTCTAGGTATGACAGAATCAATGACTTAGTTGATCTTTCAGTTTAGTAGGGAAATATAACATAAATATAGATAAGTACAATATTTAAGATAA